TCTCCGGCGACCAAGCAGACTATGAGTAGGTGGGTGGTCGAGGCCATCTCACTAGTTTACGAGTCCTCTTGCCTCCCGTCACCTATGGGGGTCAGAGTGCACTCGACCAGGAGTATGGCGGCCTCCAAGGCTTTCAACTTGGGTGTGGCCTTGCAGGACATTTGTGCTGTGGCGGGCTGGTCCTCTCCGCACACTTTTTTTGTTTGTTTTTACAACCTAGACCTGGCATCTACCCCAGGTTCCCAAGTTCTCTCTTCGTGATGTGCTCGCAAGATACACACACAGGCAGGGACTTGGTAGTATGGCGCAGTGGGTATTCTCGTTCCCAAAGCGATTTCGACGCAGCTCGAGTTCCTGAAGGGGAACGTCTCTAGGTTACGTATGTAACCATGGTTCCCCGAGGGAACGAGACGCTGCGTCTCTTTGCCATACTCCCTGCATCCCTCCAGGCGCTACTTCATCGAAGCTGGTTTGCGCTCTGCCGGATGCGCTTTTATACTTTCTGGTGCTTACGTCACCCCGCTCGTGACGTCTCGCTACTCCATTGGACTGATTTGACACGTGCTTCAGAACGCGGTCACGCAGGGGCGTTCCCAATGCGATTTCAACGCAGCGTCTCGTTCCCTCGGGGAACCATGGTTACATACGTAACCTAGAGATGTTAGTAAGGTTTTTTAATCTTAAAGTTTTTAATCTGGTATTTTTATTTTATTTTCAAGTTTTTGTGATTTTAAAGTTTTTCTTCTAATATGAAATTTAATTTTAATTTAATTTTAGTTTTATTTCAGTTAATGAAAATGATTTTAATAGTTTTTTTCTAACAATAGCAACACTAATATTTGAATCGTTTTAGTACTTCAGCTTATACTTTAGTAAGTTGCAAAGGCAATTTTTCAAGTTTAAGTTTCATGGTTTTTATGTTTTTCATCTAATATATTTATTTTATTTCACCTTAATTTCTGTTCATGAAAATTATTTTTAATAGTTTTCACTTTTGCTTAATAATAACAATGCTAATGTTTTAGTTTAAGTTCTTTTAAGTACTTCAAGTTAATTGCAAGGGCAAGTTTTGGGGTTTTTATAGTTTTTTTTGTCTAATATGAAATTTTATTTTATCTCCTTATTTCAGTTAACGATTTTTAATAGTTTTAGTTTTAGCAAACAATAACTACACTTATGTTTAGAGCTTTTCATATCTTGCTGTAGTATTTTTCACAAAGCCAAGAAAACACAGTGGATGAGCGGGGTCTGTGTTCAGGGCATGCTGGGACTGAACCCAGCTACATGTACAGACAGGGAGACCAAGAATCATTTCCAATTCCACAACTGCATCTGACTCTTATTATTTCCCCGTGAGAGGAAGCAGCATTACATGCGGTTGCAGGATGGTGTGGGGGGTTTTGCGCAGGAGGAAATAACTGGTGCTGGTGGAGTAAGTGCTTATTAAACTGGTCTGATGACGTAGCGGATGTATGTGTGAAGCACATCTGAACACCATTATCCTGCGGACTTCATCAATAAACACAGATGATTTTAGCACACAGGATTTATTTATAGATTATTTTCTTCTGTAGGCATTTTCCACCATCACATGTTAATATGTCGAATGGATAAGAACATAATTTATACTGAAAAATTAAATTGTTGTTAAAAACCTCATTCTAATTTAATTCCACTCCGCCTTAATTCAATTTTAGGAATCTACATCTTTTGATTCAACGTTATTTTATTATTGAAATACTGTTAATATATGTTTTCCATTTCCTTTTAGATTTCAGTTGAAATTTTGATAATTTTAGCTTTTAGTAATATTTAGTTTTTTTTAATGTAATAAAAAATAATAATTAATAATAATTTAAATAATTGTATTATTGTTATTTAGCTTAGTTTATTTATTATTTATTTATTGTTCGTACATTAAGTTAAACTAATGAATATGAGAAATGGCAACTAGCTAAAATAAAATAAGCATTCATTCATTCATTCATTTAATTTGTTAAAATGTTTTTATTTCAAGTGACAAAATGTTTTTATGGGTCTGTTTTTAGTTAACTATATGAAACTTTTAAATTTTACATTCTTATTTTTTTAAATATGTAATTTTTTAAATATTTTTTATTTGCATTTTAGTTTATTTTAGTACTTTAACCAAATGAAAATAAGAAATTAATTTTCACTTTCCAGCAATGTCTATTTCATTTCAAGTAATTTTCAAGTGCTTTCTTTCTTTCTTTCTTTCTTTCTTTCTTTCTTTTTCTTTCTTCTTTTTTCTTTCTTTCTTTCACTTTTTTATGGTTTTAGTTAACATAATAGCCATGTTTTGAATACACACAAAAAAATAAATAGGTCTTCTTTTAAATTAAATTAAATTAAATTAAATTAAATTAAATTAAATTAAATTAAATTAAATTAAATTAAATTAAATTAAATTAAATTAAATTAAATTAAATTAAATTAAATTAAATTAAATTAAATTAAATTAAATTAAATTAAATTAAATTAAATTAAATTAAATTAAATTAAATTAAAATAAATTATCCACTTTCATGTAGAATTTTTATTTTTTTGTCTTGATCTGAATGGGTCAGTCTGTGATTCACATGTCAGAGTTTGCTGGTGAACCTGATCTTCTTTGTTCACATGCATATGAATGGAAGTGAATGAAACACAAGTGTAGTATGACCGTCCCAAAACACTCAGTTTAGTGGCAAAGACAGACTGTTGACTAATGGAGAAACAGCAGTTTCTTCTATAGAGTCCAGCTCACAATAGATGAGTGAAGAGCCGAGGCGTAGAGCGATCAATCACACTGAACCTCTGTGACCCGCAGGAGAAGAAACACAAATGCCATTGGTTGAAGAAGAAGAAAAAAACTTGGGAGGCTATTTACTTTATTTTAAATAAACTGTTTTAAGAATAGGATTTTAATTTTTTTTTTGCTATGTCTTTGCTAGTGACAACTAACACTGAAACTAAAACTATTAAAAAATCTTTTTTTTTGTTCTGTGA